TATCTCTCTCTCTCTCTCTCTCTCTCTCTCTCTCTCTCTCTATCTCTCCTCTCTCTCTCTCTCTCTCTCTCTCTTTCTCTCTCTCTCTCTCCCTCTCGCTCTCGCGAGCGCCGCTGGATACGAGCCGAAATGAGATAATGAGAGGGAGAAACAACTACAGCGGGCCCTTAAAAAGCTCTAGGAAAGAGGGCAGAGGGATATGCTAAGTCCTCTCTCTCTCTCTATCTCTCTCTCTCTCTCTCTCTCTCTCTCTCTCTCTCTCTCTCTCTCTCTCACTCTCTCAATCTCGCTCCCCCTCCCTCACCTCCTCTGCCTCTGCGTCTTCCCCCATGCCCCACGCCACGACAACCCTCTCACATGCCCCACATGCCCCATGTGACCTAATTCCAAGACATTCCAACCACCATCACTCTCTCTCCCCCTCACCTCCTCCGCCTCTGCGTCTTCCCGCATGCCCCACGCCACGACACCTGTCTCACATGCCCCATGGGCAAGCTATCTCACAGCCACAGCCTACCCACTCTCTCTCACTCTCTCTCTCACCCTCTCTCTCCCTTACCTCCTCTGCCTCTGCGTCTTCCCGCATGCCCCACGACACCCCTCCTCCCTCCTCCTCCCCCGCCCCCCGCCCTGCTGCCACAGCCCGCCGCTGCTCCCTCTCCGCTGCCTCCCTGGCCGACTCTCTTGCTGCTGCCTGCCGTTTTGCTTGCCGCTCTGCACGCGACGGTCCTTCTCGTGTGGATGGAATGTGGGTGGGCGAGGCGAAAAGGAATCTGTTGTGAGGCGTCTCGTCTTGACACACGAGTTTACTAGCATGTTCTCTGCTGTCTCCCTTCCCTAGCCGCCTCCCTTGCTGCTACCTGCCACTTTGCCTGGCGCTCCAGGGGCGAAGGATGGGTTGTTGGGGGTTGAAATGATAACGTTATTGGTTTTGGGACGCCTCAAGAGGAATCTGTTCTCACGCTCTGCACGGAAGGTACCTTCCTTCCTGTGGGGATAGGATGTTGGGTGTGGGGGGGGAGCATCTGAGCAAAGAGATTGGAGGGAAAGGGTAGGGATGGAGCATCTGGGTAAGGATACTGGCAGTAGTCACTTTTGACTCACCAAACCTCACCTCAAGCCATGACTCATTTCACACCTCACAAAGGGATTCGACTCACACGCTGTCTCACCTCACACGCTGTCTCACCTCAGGCATAAGGTCCTGCGGCCCTTGGAAGAGATATAGGCGTGACGACCTGGTAGACAGGGAAAGAGACACACACGTTGGTTGGAAGGTTCATATTCATGCACATTGCACATTGCACATTGCAGAGCCCAAACGCCCACATGAGAACCCAACCATCAGTGCATGCATGCATGTGAGCGGAGTGAGGGCCAAGACAGGTACAAAGCAGAAATGCGTGGCCCGGTCCTCACACAACGGTTGAATTCCACCTGGGAAAACTGTACGCCCTTGATGACGTCATCACTCACTCACATGCCAAACCTGATGACGTCACCAACCCTCAGAGGAAGGAACGTGCCCGGCTTCACCTGCACGCGGGGGGGAGGGGGGGGGGGGGGGGGGGGGGGGGGGGGGGGGGCGGCAACGAGAGAGGAGTTAAACGGCAGAAAGCTGGAAACAAGCAAAGCACATGCATGGATGGATGGGATGGCATGCACAATGGATGTGGGTAATGGCCCCAGGGCTTGCCGCGTGCATGAGGGACATAATACAAGCACAGTGAATTGATTATTTAAGCACCATGGATAAGACGCATACGCCCACACTACCCCACTCCACTCCACTCCACTTCACTCCACTCCACTCCACTCCACTCCACTCCACTCCACTCCACTCCACTCCACTCCACTCCACTCCACTCCACTCCACTCCACTCCACTCCACTCCACTCCACTCCACTCCATTCCACTCCACTTCATTGCACTCCACTCCATTCCACTCCACTCCATTCCACTCCAGGGGTGAACGTTTGAGGAACGGCTTCTGAGTGCTGTGGAGGTGCATGAGGAGTGCACGCATGGAAAGGGGAATATAACAGCACAGAGTGAACACACGCGCGAAAGACAGAGCATGCATGGGGGCACACGCACTCCGCACCTGCTGTTTGTTGATAAACATCTTGCAGGTGCTGTGGAGGTCCATGGGGAATTCATGCATTCACGCGGGGAGTCAACGCCCCATGCGTGGAGAGCACAACAGGGAGCCAGCGCCCCATGCGTGGAGAGCACAACAGGGAGCCAGCGCCCCATGCGTGGAGAGCACAACAGGGAGCCAGCGCCCCATGCGTGGAGAGCACAACAGGGAGCCAGCGCCCCATGCGTGGAGAGCACAACAGGGAGCCAGCGCCCCATGCGTGGAGAGCACAACAGGGAGCCAGCGCCCCATGCGTGGAGAGCACAACAGGGAGCCAGCGCCCCATGCGTGGAGAGCACAACAGGGAGCCAGCGCCCCATGCGTGGAGAGCACAACAGGGAGCCAGCGCCCCATGCGTGGAGAGCACAACAGGGAGCCAGCGCCCCATGCGTGGAGAGCACAACAGGGAGCCAGCGCCCCATGCGTGGAGAGCACAACAGCGAGCCAGCGCCCCATGCGTGGAGAGCACAACAGGGAGCCAGCGCCCATGCGTGGAGAGCACAACAGGGAGCCAGCGCCCCATGCGTGGAGAGCTCAACAGCGAGCCAGCGCCCCATGCGTGGAGAGCACAACAGCGAGCCAGCGCCCCATGCGTGGAGAGCTCAACAGCGAGCCAGCGCCCCATGCGTGGAGAGCTCAACAGCGAGCCAGCGCCCCATGCGTGGAGAGCTCAACAGCGAGCCAGCGCCCCATGCGTGGAGAGCACAACAGCGAGCCAGCGCCCCATGCGTGGAGAGCACAACAGCGAGCCAGCGCCCCATGCGTGGAGAGCACAACAGCGAGCCAGCGCCCCATGCGTGGAGAGCACAACAGCGAGCCAGCGCCCCATGCGTGGAGAGCACAACAGCGAGCCAGCGCCCCATGCGTGGAGAGCACAACAGGGAGCCAGCGCCCCATGCGTGGAGAGCACAACAGCGAGCCAGCGCCCCATGCGTGGAGAGCACAACAGGGAGCCAGCGCCCCATGCGTGGAGAGCACAACAAAAAGCCAGCGCCCCATGCGTGGAGAGCACAACAGGGAGCCAGCGCCCCATGCGTGGAGAGCACAACAGGGAGCCAGCGCCCCATGCGTGGAGAGCACAACAGGGAGCCAGCGCCCCATGCGTGGAGAGCACAACAGGGAGCCAGCGCCCCATGCGTGGAGAGCACAACAGGGAGCCAGCGCCCCATGCGTGGAGAGCACAACAGCGAGCCAGCGCCCCATGCGTGGAGAGCTCAACAGCGAGCCAGCGCCCCATGCGTGGAGAGCACAACAGGGAGCCAGCGCCCCATGCGTGGAGAGCACAACAGGGAGCCAGCGCCCCATGCGTGGAGAGCACAACAGGGAGCCAGCGCCCCATGCGTGGAGAGCACAACAGGGAGCCAGCGCCCCATGCGTGGAGAGCACAACAGGGAGCCAGCGCCCCATGCGTGGAGAGCACAACAGGGAGCCAGCGCCCCATGCGTGGAGAGCACAACAGGGAGCCAGCGCCCCATGCGTGGAGAGCACAACAGCGAGCCAGCGCCCCATGCGTGGAGAGCACAACAGGGAGCCAGCGCCCCATGCGTGGAGAGCACAACAGGGAGCCAGCGCCCCATGCGTGGAGAGCACAACAGCGAGCCAGCGCCCCATGCGTGGAGAGCACAACAGCGAGCCAGCGCCCCATGCGTGGAGAGCACAACAGGGAGCCAGCGCCCCATGCGTGGAGAGCACAACAGGGAGCCAGCGCCCCATGCGTGGAGAGCACAACAGGGAGCCAGCGCCCCATGCGTGAAGAGCACAACAGCGAGCCAGCACCCCATGCGTGGAGAGCACAACAGGGAGCCAGCGCCCCATGCGTGGAGAGCACAACAGGGAGCCAGCGCCCCATGCGTGGAGAGCACAACAGCGAGCCAGCGCCCCATGCGTGGAGAGCACAACAGCGAGCCAGCGCCCCATGCGTGGAGAGCACAACAGGGAGCCAGCGCCCCATGCGTGGAGAGCACAACAGCGAGCCAGCGCCCCATGCGTGGAGAGCACAACAGCGAGCCAGCGCCCCATGCGTGGAGAGCACAACAGCGAGCCAGCGCCCCATGCGTGGAGAGCTCAACAGCGAGCCAGCGCCCCATGCGTGGAGAGCTCAACAGCGAGCCAGCGCCCCATGCGTGGAGAGCACAACAGCGAGCCAGCGCCCCATGCGTGGAGAGCACAACAGCGAGCCAGCGCCCCATGCGTGGAGAGCACAACAGCGAGCCAGCGCCCCATGCGTGGAGAGCACAACAGCGAGCCAGCGCCCCATGCGTGGAGAGCACAACAGCGAGCCAGCGCCCCATGCGTGGAGAGCACAACAGGAGCCAGCGCCCCATGCGTGGAGAGCACAACAGGGAGCCAGCGCCCCATGCGTGGAGAGCACAACAGGGAGCCAGCGCCCCATGCGTGGAGAGCACAACAAAAAGCCAGCGCCCCATGCGTGGAGAGCACAACAGGGAGCCAGCGCCCCATGCGTGGAGAGCACAACAGGGAGCCAGCGCCCCATGCGTGGAGAGCACAACAGGGAGCCAGCGCCCCATGCGTGGAGAGCACAACAGCGAGCCAGCGCCCCATGCGTGGAGAGCACAACAGGGAGCCAGCGCCCCATGCGTGGAGAGCACAACAGGGAGCCAGCGCCCCATGCGTGGAGAGCACAACAGCGAGCCAGCGCCCCATGCGTGGAGAGCACAACAGCGAGCCAGCGCCCCATGCGTGGAGAGCACAACAGCGAGCCAGCGCCCCATGCGTGGAGAGCACAACAGCGAGCCAGCGCCCCATGCGTGGAGAGCACAACAGCGAGCCAGCGCCCCATGCGTGGAGAGCACAACAGCGAGCCAGCGCCCCATGCGTGGAGAGCACAACAGCGAGCCAGCGCCCCATGCGTGGAGAGCACAACAGCGAGCCAGCGCCCCATGCGTGGAGAGCACAACAGCGAGCCAGCGCCCCATGCGTGGAGAGCACAACAGCGAGCCAGCGCCCCATGCGTGGAGAGCACAACAGCGAGCCAGCGCCCCATGCGTGGAGAGCACAACAGCGAGCCAGCGCCCCATGCGTGGAGAGCACAACAGCGAGCCAGCGCCCCATGCGTGGAGAGCACAACAGCGAGCCAGCGCCCCATGCGTGGAGAGCACAACAGCGAGCCAGCGCCCCATGCGTGGAGAGCACAACAGCGAGCCAGCGCCCCATGCGTGGAGAGCATAACAGCGAGCCAGCGCCCCATGCGTGGAGAGCACAACAGCGAGCCAGCGCCCCATGCGTGGAGAGCACAACAGCAAGCCAGCGCCCCATGCGTGGAGAGCACAACAGCGAGCCAGCGCCCCATGCGTGGAGAGCACAACAGCGAGCCAGCGCCCCATGCGTGGAGAGCACAACAGCGAGCCAGCGCCCCATGCGTGGAGAGCACAACAGCGAGCCAGCGCCCCATGCGTGGAGAGCACAACAGCGAGCCAGCGCCCCATGCGTGGAGAGCACAACAGCGAGCCAGCGCCCCATGCGTGGAGAGCACAACAGCGAGCCAGCGCCCCATGCGTGGAGAGCACAACAGCGAGCCAGCGCCCCATGCGTGGAGAGCACAACAGCGAGCCAGCGCCCCATGCGTGGAGAGCACAACAGCGAGCCAGCGCCCCATGCGTGGAGAGCACAACAGCGAGCCAGCGCCCCATGCGTGGAGAGCACAACAGCGAGCCAGCGCCCCATGCGTGGAGAGCACAACAGCGAGCCAGCGCCCCATGCGTGGAGAGCACAACAGCGAGCCAGCGCCCCATGCGTGGAGAGCACAACAGCGAGCCAGCGCCCCATGCGTGGAGAGCACAACAGCGAGCCAGCGCCCCATGCGTGGAGAGCACAACAGCGAGCCAGCGCCCCATGCGTGGAGAGCACAACAGCGAGCCAGCGCCCCATGCGTGGAGAGCACAACAGCGAGCCAGCGCCCCATGCGTGGAGAGCACAACAGCGAGCCAGCGCCCCATGCGTGGAGAGCACAACAGCGAGCCAGCGCCCCATGCGTGGAGAGCACAACAGCGAGCCAGCGCCCCATGCGTGGAGAGCACAACAGCGAGCCAGCGCCCCATGCGTGGAGAGCACAACAGCAAGCCAGCGCCCCATGCGTGGAGAGCACAACAGCGAGCCAGCGCCCCATGCGTGGAGAGCACAACAGCGAGCCAGCGCCCCATGCGTGGAGAGCACAACAGCGAGCCAGCGCCCCATGCGTGGAGAGCACAACAGGGAGCCAGCGCCCCATGCGTGGAGAGCACAACAGGGAGCCAGCGCCCCATGCGTGGAGAGCACAACAGGGAGCCAGCGCCCCATGCGTGGAGAGCACAACAGGGAGCCAGCGCCCCATGCGTGGAGAGCACAACAGGGAGCCAGCGCCCCATGCGTGGAGAGCACAACAGGGAGCCAGCGCCCCATGCGTGGAGAGCACAACAGCGAGCCAGCGCCCCATGCGTGGAGAGCACAACAGGGAGCCAGCGCCCATGCGTGGAGAGCACAACAGGGAGCCAGCGCCCCATGCGTGGAGAGCTCAACAGCGAGCCAGCGCCCCATGCGTGGAGAGCACAACAGCGAGCCAGCGCCCCATGCGTGGAGAGCTCAACAGCGAGCCAGCGCCCATGCGTGGAGAGCTCAACAGCGAGCCAGCGCCCCATGCGTGGAGAGCTCAACAGCGAGCCAGCGCCCCATGCGTGGAGAGCACAACAGCGAGCCAGCGCCCCATGCGTGGAGAGCACAACAGCGAGCCAGCGCCCCATGCGTGGAGAGCACAACAGCGAGCCAGCGCCCCATGCGTGGAGAGCACAACAGCGAGCCAGCGCCCCATGCGTGGAGAGCACAACAGCGAGCCAGCGCCCCATGCGTGGAGAGCACAACAGCGAGCCAGCGCCCCATGCGTGGAGAGCACAACAGGGAGCCAGCGCCCCATGCGTGGAGAGCACAACAGCGAGCCAGCGCCCCATGCGTGGAGAGCACAACAGCGAGCCAGCGCCCCATGCGTGGAGAGCACAACAGCGAGCCAGCGCCCCATGCGTGGAGAGCACAACAGCGAGCCAGCGCCCCATGCGTGGAGAGCACAACAGCGAGCCAGCGCCCCATGCGTGGAGAGCACAACAGCGAGCCAGCGCCCCATGCGTGGAGAGCACAACAGGGAGCCAGCGCCCCATGCGTGGAGAACACAACAGGGAGCCAACGCCCCATGCATGGGGGCACAGCACAGCAGAAGCACAGTGCACCCATCTGACCTGCTGTCAAGCTCAGTGCACCCATCTGACCTGCTGTTTATTAACGAACGTCTTATGGGTGCTGTGGAGGTCCATGAGGAAGGCAGCGCTGTCGTCCCCATACTGGATCACTGCCGGCAATGGCAAGGGGAGCCACACACGCAGGCACGCAGGCGGGTGGTCGGGGCAGGAAGGCGGCCAGGCAGGCACGATGTAGCAATGAAATCCCTCTCATTTGTCCAAACGGTCAAGTGCACTCAGGCTAATGAAACGTTTCATGCTCCTTCTTGGAGAGGTTACAAAAGAAGCACCTGCCTACCCCCTCGTTTTCCCCTGCGTACCATACCATACCATGCCATACCATACCATACCATACCATACCATACCATGCCATACCATACCATACCATACCATACCATACCATACCATACCATACCATACCATACCATACCATACGAGCATGGTAGGGCGTGATTGAGGGCTGGTGCAGCACGAAGCCACAACCGTCAAATGCATCATAACACCTACATGTCGCAGCAAGTTACCCTCAGTAAAAAAAAAATAAAGCATCTTCTTAGTATCAACATGTTACCACCACCTGGTTACCACCTGGTTACTACGTGCATACCAGTATTGTAGCGGGAGATGGAGGGGTGCTGCAGCACGAAGTCACAGCGGTCGATGCGGCCAAACATGTACGCACTCTTGGCAGGTGTGGAGAGGGAGGGCGGGGAAGAGCAGAGCAGCGGTGATGAGGGGACATGGGGTCCTCTTCAGAGAGGTGAGTGGGAGTGAGAGAGCACGTGCAGCATCAAGTCACAGCGGTCCATGCGCCCAAACATGTACGCGCTCTTGGCAGCGCTGCGAGGAGAAGGGGGAGAGGAGAAGGGGAGGGCAGGCGCGGAAAGGAGAGAGCGACGATGAGGGACGTTGAATCTTGAATACTGCTTGCGCTTCTCATTTCTCATGTCATCATAATTGCTAGGATTCACACATAATCACCATCACCACAACTCACCCATCCCCACCACACAACCACCCATCACCACCATTCACCCATCACCGCCACTCACCCATCACCACCACTCACCCATCACCACCACTCACCCATCACCACCACTCACCCATCACCACCACTCATCCACCACCACCACCACTCACTTATCACCACCACTCACCCATCACCACCACTCACCCATCACCGCCACTCACCCATCACCGCCACTCACCCATCACCGCCACTCACCCATCACCGCCACTCACCCATCACCACCACTCACCCATCACCACCATTCCCCTCCACTCTGAACGGCACCTTGGGAACTGCCGCCCAATCAGGGATCGAGTACGGGGCCTTGCCACTGCTGCCGCTGCTGCTGCTGCCTCTGCCAGTCCCTGCTTTACTCTCACCATCGCCACTGTCACCACCGTTAGCAGCACCTTTTCTTTCCTTCCCAGCACTCCCATCCCCCACGTCCGCTTCCGAATTCTTATCTTCTAAACTCTTAGCTTTCAGGTGATTAGCTAAGTGCGAGTCATCTTTATTTTCCGATTTGTCACCAGCCTCCCCACCTTCAGCAAGTTACCCCCCTTCCCCGATCTCATGCGCTTTTCCGCTGCTTCCGCCAGTGCTTTCCCCCTCCGCTGTGCATTCGCGCGGATCATCCCCTTCACTTGCGCCTTCCCTGCGGAGAACCTTCAAAATGTCCCCTTCCCCGCTTTCCCCTTTTCCGCGCCCCTCCGAAGTCTCCCCTTCCGCGCTTCCCCCTCCCGCTTTCACTTTCTCCTTGGCCCGCGCGGGAGGCGGAGGCATCGCCACGGAAGAAGCGGGAGAGGCGGATTTCGCCGAAGGATCGGAATCCGCGGAAGGCGGAGGGTTGGCATCGGCGGGAGCGCAAGGAGGAGGCATGGCCCCGCGGGATGGCGGTGCAGCCTCCATGTCAGCTGGCACTACCAGTACTAAAGCGGTGCGAGGGCGTGTGATATACACGGAAGCGCTTCACGCTGACAATAGGGGTCCACAGCCAAGTTAGGATTTCATACACGAGTGCAACGAGGAACGGCGATTCTAAGGGAGTTAGAATATCTCCGCGCTCGGCCTTGGACAACCGACTACTACTACCACTAGTCGTAGCGTGGTGAAGCAAATTAGCAGTGTGGTGCCACTAATAGCGTGGGTGTGCTGTGCGGCGTGACAAATTGCAATCTCCTAGCTCCTAATGGATGTCGAAGTCGTGAGGTTCGCCGCCCTCGAGCGATATGAGGTAACTCGGTTACCCGAACTTCGGCTGCTCGCTTGCTGGAAACTTTGCTCTCTACTCTGATCAAGCGTTCTCAAAGCCACCAAAATTCCAGCTCACCATAGTGCTTGGTAGTTTCGCCGTGCGGAACCCGATACACATAGAAGTATTCCGCTTGTCAATGTCGCAATAAAGAAAGGGCCAATAATCTCCAAAATCCTCAAACAGAATTGGAATCCATTACTGGGGTTCAAGTGACCCACCAAATAATGTACTCGCAACCTTCAGTTTCGACGAAATTATTAGCGTCGTTAATGAATGACACGTACAACAATAATTGGAATACAGTCCTGGTTATTAGAGTCCAAATCAGCTGGAACGAATTAAGAAGAGAAGGTAATTTTCATGCCGTTTTTGCAGTCCTTGCCCTTGGTACTGATCATGTAGTATGTAGAGGAAATATCTAGAATGAAGGAGAATTTGGCCTTTCTCCTGGATCTCACGAGCACTCTTTGAACCTTCTTGACATTGCACGCGTTGGAGTCTTCTACACTGCCCACCAGTGCAAGATTGTGCTTTTGCCCGATAATAGCGTTCCTCGTTCTGCGGGGTTTCCATTTGAAAATTGAACACAAGCAAGGGAGGAAATAAGATTATATTCTGAGTTTCTGCATGTGCAGAAGTTGAAATAAGTGCACAGCAGCTAAGGAAGCGAAGCATTGCAAGATCGCAGTGCAGGCATGCACGCTTACCCAGCACATCTCTTGCAAACAGCTCTGGTTTTTGTCAAAATAGCTAGGCAGGAATGGATGGACTAGAATCAAGTTGGGTACAAATATGAAACCCTAAAGGGGCTATACCCATATTGGCTACCCCACTACAGCCTACACATATATGTTACAAATATAGTTTGACACACCCCCATAGGCAAAGTGGGAGAGAACAAGGGGTCACAAGACCAGTCAAGCAAAGCAAGGCAAAGCAAGCTCAGGGTGGATCACGTCACCACACACACTGAGCACAAGCAAAGGGCCACAAGGCCAGTCCACATGCAGAGGTATATATGCAACAGGAACAGCACAGTGATCACCACCTAGCAAGAGCAAGCATGCAGGTATATGTATATAGATCACAGTACAAGCAAAGCCTACAGCAAGTGTGGAAACGTAGGTACAAGGCCTAACAAAGTACAGAAACGCTGATGATCACCAGACGGAAGTGCCTTGGTGAATATATCAGCAGTGTTGGCCCGCGTGGCCACGTAAGCAAGACGAAGCTGACCTCGCTGCTGCAACTCTCGAGCCAGGAAGTAACGTAGAGCGATGTGCTTCGTTCTGTGCTCCAGTCTGTGCTCCTCATACAAGGCAATGGCCGCCTTGTTGTCAACGTACAGAACTGGAGGAGAACGAGGCCGCTCTCCCAAGTCAGTCAGCAGGTAGGTGAGCCAGCGTAACTCCTGTGCAGCCATGGCTGTGGCGTAGATCTCAGCCTCACAACTGGAGCTGAGAACAGAAGACGAGCGTGTAGACCACCAAGAAACAGAGCCAGAGCCAAGACTGAAGGTGTAACCCTATGACGACCGCTGCGTAGCCTGGTCGTCAACCCAAGACGCGTCAGAGTGTCCAGTGAGGACAACGTCACCCCGTCCTCCAAGCACGAGCCCCATGCCCGATGTACTGCACAGGTAGCGCAGTACCCTCTTCGCAGCTTCCCAGTGCACCTTTCGGTGCCTACCAGGAGCCACATAGCGAGCCAGAAGGCCAAGAGGGTACGCAAGGTCAGGTCAAGTGCAGGTCATCAGGTACATGAGGCAACCCACTAGCTCTAGGTAAGGACCACTCGGCTCTACGGACTCGTCCGAAGGTGGAGCTGAGAGCGAGTGACCTATAGCCAGAGGAGTGGACTGTGGGGAGGACCAGGTGAAGCCGAAGCGCTGAAGGACCTGCTGCACCATGTGTGACTGAGACAGTGTGATGGTGCGGCGTGCTCTGTCCCGGGTGATCTGCAAGCCAAGGTAGCTGCGCAGCTCACCCAGGTCTGTACACGTGTGTCTCTTCTGCAGCTCCGACTTCACCAGGGCGAGAGCCTCAGTGTCAGCAGTGGCAAAGACCAAGTCGTTGACGTACACGAGGATGTAGAACGGCGGCAGCGAAGTGTCGGTGCGCAGGAACAGCGACGGGTCAGCAGTCGAAGGAGCAAACCCAAGAGCCGCAAGTGTCGTCCTCAGTGTGTCGTGCCACTCACGAGGCACCTGGCGGAGACCGTAGACTGGCCGCCGGAGGCTCCACTGGGTACCAGGAGGGAACGATCCAGTGAAGCCAGGTGGGCGACGCAGCCAGATCTCCTCGTGCAGGCTGCCCTGTAAGAAGGTTGTGCTAAGTCAAGAGAGTGAAGCTCGTAGTCACGCTGAGCAGCAACGTGCAGCAGCACCCGAAGAGTGGTCATCTTCGGGGTGGGGGAGAAGGTCTGAAAGAAGTCAACTCCCTGTCGCTGACTGAAGCCTCGTGCGACGTAACGAGCCTTGAAGACAAGCGGAGAACCCGGCGGCCGCTTCACCCTGGAAATCCACATGCCATCGACGATGTTCGCCCCGGGAGGGGAAACCTCATCGACGTAAGTGCCTGTGGACTTCCAGGATGCCATCTCTGCGTCCATGGCTGCCTGCCATTGAGAGGTATTATCACCTGCGATCGCCTCAGTGTAAGAGCGCGGGGTCGGGATGTCTAGAGCATCCGGGTCTCCCTCAAGGGCAAGCAGCATGGCCACGAGATGAGGCGCAGTGGCTGCAAGACACTCAAGGTCCTCGTGCCTGTCCTCAAGGACGTCCGTGCCAAGAGCACACTCACCCCCGACGGACGGAGGACAGACAGACTCAAACTCGGCAACAAGGCTAGCAGCTTAGTCTATACCACAGGCAGCAGCAAAGTCAACAAGCTCAGCGACCAAGGCAGACGCAGCAGCAGACTCAAACGAGGGGTCAGTGACAACAGTGGCTAGCAGACGCGTGACAGTAGGGTGCGCAGCACGAACCAGGTCAGACTCAGGGTCCGGAACGTCAGGCAAAGAAGACGCAGGAGGAGACGGCAGAGGAACACGCTGTGGAACAGAGGAAGGACGAAGTGCCATAATGTGCGTCCTAGGGACAGGAGGAGGACGCTCACGACTAACACGACCAGTGCGACCAGTGAAAAAAGGCGAGACAGGACGGGACGCTTGCTCGCGACGCTCAGTAAGACCTCCCGACTGCTCAGTGTAAGGAGAGGGAGCAGGCAGGGGGGAGCCTGGCTGTAACGGTAGGCCAGTGGAAGACGGCAGGCTAAGAACCTGGCGAAGCACTGTGTCAGGAGGCGGCAAAGACGACGGCGACGGCGGAGAGAAGAACAGCTGCTGCGCAGCAGTGTCACCAGCACCAGCAGCTCCATTGCCTCCTGCTGCACCAGAACCTCGAGCACCTGCAGACCCTCCAGCTCAACCTCCTCGAGCGCCAGCACCACCAGCAGCCGCAGAACCTCCAGCGCCAGCACCGCCAGTACCAGCGTCACCGGCAGTAGCACCTTCAGAACCGGCACCCCCAGTCCCAGGGTCTCCAGCAGTAGCACCCCCAGACGCAGCACCCCCAGCCCCAGCACCCCCTGAACCGGCACCCTCAGCACCCCTTGAGCCGTCAGCAGAAGCGCCTCCAGCGGCAAAGTCCCGAGCTCCAGCAGCGCGACCCTGACGGCGAGTGTACCACTCGTGCAGCTGCTGCGGGGAGAGAGGCGGATGCGGACGAAGGCGGCCACTCCAAGGAGACCGCGCACAAGCAGTCTCAGTACCCTCAGGCGCCGCACCCCCAGACTCAGCACCCCCAGGCTCCTCACGCTCAGGCTCAGCACCCCCAGAATCAGCACCCCTAGACGCAACACCCCCAGGCGTAGCACCTCCAGTCTCCTCACATTCAGGCTCAGCACCTCCAGACTCAGCACCCCCAGGCTCCTCACGCTCAGGCTCAGCACCCCTAGACGCAGCACCCCCAGGCGTAGTACCTCCACGCTCCTCACGCTCAGGCCCAGCACCTCCAGGCCCACACGCTCAGGCTCGGCACCCTCTGACTCAGCGCTCCCAGGCTCAGCACCCCTAGGCTCCGCACGCTCAGGCTCAACACCCTCAGACGCAGCACCCCGAGCACCCCCAGCAGGACCTGAGTCACCAGTGACCTCAACAGGCGCAGGCACAGGAGGATCTACCTGAGAAACACCTGAAGGAGTAGGACCTGGCGGAGGGAGGGGGTCTACCTGGGGAGGACCTGGAGCGAGAAAGAGCGGAGGGGGGGGGGGCGAGCGGCAGTGCGGTAGGGAAAGAGACAGTAAAAGGGGACCGACTCGTCGAAGGTGACGTCCTGAGACGCAAAGACACAGCGCGAGGTGGGGTCGTAAAACTGCCAGCCAGGCGCGTCAGGAGGAAAACCAAGGAAGACGCAGGGAATGGCGCGAGCGGAGAGCTTGTCCGCGGTGGTATCGCGGACAAAGGCACGAGCACCCCAGACCCGGAAGCGCGACGCATCGCCAACCTCCCCCGTCCACAGCAGTGTGGGCGAGGTCTCCGGCAAGGAGACACGGGGCCAGATGTTGAGCTGATGCGCGGCGTACCGGACCGCAAACGGCTACAGAAAATGGGGGGCAGCCGCATGGATCATGGAGGTACGAGCGACCTCCATGACTAAGCCAATGCGGTGCTCAGCAACCCCATTCTGCTGCGGAGAGGCCGGAAGCGTGAACGACTGGCGGATGCCGTGCTCCTCACAGAAAGCTCGCAAGAGGTCGGAGGAGAACTCACCACCTCTGTCGCACGACAGGAAAGTCCGACTGGAACCGCTCGCGGAGCTGGAGACGAACAGCGCGGATCCAAGGGATCAAAACATCAGGGACCTGACCCTTGCTGCGCAAGGGGAAGACCGTGGTGTAACGCGTGTAGTCGTCGACGACCAGCAGGAAGTACTGCTCGCGGCCCTGCCCCTGGACGCGGGCTGGGCCCCACACGTCCAGGTGGAGAGTCTGCAGTGGAGCCTCTGTGGGAGGGAACGAGGAGGAGTGAGGAGCGGCGCGCTGCCGCCCCTCGACGCAAGGAATGCAGGGCGGCGCAGGCGAGGGAGGGAGGGCAGGCAGAGACCTGGGAAGACCAGAGACTAGGGAGCGAGAGTGCATGCCACGAAGGCGAGGCAGGGAGGGGTGACCAAGGCGGTGGTGCCACAGGAGAGTGTCGTGCGACAGGCGACGACACTCACACTGGGTAGCTACCTGAGCGGACGCGTACAGCTGAGGAGACACAGGGGTGTAGCGCGACACAGTGGTGAGGGTGTACAGACTGGACCCTGGCGCACGTGTGAACGTGGCCAGGTGGCGGCCAGTCCTAGAGCACGTACAGATCGCCACACGCTGTCCTCCAGGAGTAAAGGTGTCAACCCAATGATCCTGAAGGACGGCGTTGCTCACCAGGTTCGTAGAGAACGAGGGGATGTGGAGACCTGTCAGCTCACCGGATGGGACCGTCCGACACGGGAGCACAGTACTGGACCGTGCAAGCACTGGGCCCCCAGAGGGGTCAGCCAGTGAGACAGGGACAGGTGCAGGGAGGGGAGTGACTGTGGTACTGTCACGAAAGAAGCAGCGGGAAGCACCTGAGTCAAGCGTGAAGGTGTGCGAAGCCTCAGCAGGCGCAGGACCATGGAGAGCAGACTCACTAGCACCTAGGGCTGCAGTCTCTATACCTGGGTCAGGCGGCACACACAAGTAGCAGTCACCCTCAGCACTAACAGTCAATGCATACATAGCAGCAAGAATCGCATCATAGTCAAGATCAAAGATAGGAACATCACGCCTAAGCAGCTCTGCCCAGTTGGGGAACTCAGTAGCCTCAGGAAACTTGGCGCGCCAGGCGTCGCTAAGTCTAGCGAAACAACGGTACTCGGTGTGAAGGCCGTTACAGGGGCGACCAGCGCGGGGACCGGCACGAATGACATAGGGGCGGCCACCAGGACCCCCAGACCCCCACGCTGAGCATACCAGTCATGAAGCTGCTGAGACGTGGGGGTCTGGCGCTGACGCTGCTGTTGCTGCTGTGGCTGCTGCTGCTGCTGATGCTGCTGCTGCTGCTGCTGCTGCTGCTGCTGCTGCTGCTGCTGCTGCTGCTGCTGCTGCTGCTGCTGCTGCTGCTGCTGCTGCTGCTGCCTTTGGCCACCACTGGAGCCCCCCTTCGGGCTGGCCGCACTCCAGCCCCCACCTCCGCCACCACTACCGCTGCCTCCTCCCCCGCTCCCGCCGCTGCCTCCACCACTGCTCCCAGTCCCACCGCCGCCCCACCCACCGCCTCCACCCCCACGGCCACCCCCACCACCTCCACCACCCCCGCCGCCTCCACCACCGCTCCCTCCACCGCCACCTCCACCACCCTTACCACCCTTGCCGCCCTTGGTGCCGCTGCGCTTCCCACTATGATCAGAAGCAGCTGCGACCTTCTCAGCACCGAGGAGGTCGACGGCAGCAGCAGCAGAGGCGTAGGAGGGGGCAAGAGGGGAGGGGGAGCACCCCTCAAAGAGGGGAGTGCGAGGAGTGCCACGAGCAGCACCTACAGCGAGGATGTTCTTCTCTGCTGCTAGGAGCTGCTGCTCGAAGTCGGCTAGAGTGAGAGTGGTAGGGTCTTTGGCGAGGAAGTGGTCCCTGACTGAACTGAGAGTGTCAGGGAGGCGGGTGACGAGGATGTAGAGGGTAAAGTACAACGGGGGGGGGGTTCTTGGCAAGGAAGTCGTCTGTAAGGGCGGCACGAAAGCGAGCGTCACTAGCGCGAAGGTGAGAGATAAGGTCCTCAGCGATGGCAAACGAGGACAGGTCTGGAAACGGGTAGGGCAGGATGAGACGGCTGCAGTGGCTGGGGACGAATAGCGCGCAACTACAGCAAAAAATGCGCGCGCTCAGTGATCGGCAGATGATTGCGAATAGCAAGGCGCGCAGCAGCATCGCGAGTCTGCCACTGTGAGCGGTGAGCAGGAGCAGTGTCAGCGAGAGCAGCAGCAGTGCCAGATGCGTGATCGAACAATGAAATGCCGTCTTTTGCATCAGTCATAAGAAACAGTTGCAGGTCGTCGAGCCAAGTGGCAAACTCAATCGGGCTACCGTCAGGCTCAAATGCGAGAACATTCAGCGTCGGCATGATCGCATTGCAGGCGAAGGCAGCAGGCAAAGGCAGCAGGCACAGGCAGCAGGCAAAGGCAGCAGGCACAGGCAGCAGGCAAAGGCAGCAGGCACAGGCAGCAGGCAAAGGCAGCAGGCACAGGCAGCAGGCAAAGGCAGCAGGCAAGGGCGGCGCGCAAAGCAGCCGCAAGCTGCGCGTGGGCTAACTAGGCGATGCGGTAGCAGCGCCGGCAACGCACAGGTGGGGCAGGCGGCCGCGGCAGTAGGGCTGGCGGCGCGCGGGGCTGCGGGGCAGCGCGACGGGCAGCGGCAGGGCGCGCGCGGGGCTGCAGGGCAGCGCGACGGGCGGCGCGCGGGGCCGCGGGGCAGCGCGACGGGCTGGCAAGGCGCGCGCGGGGTGCGGGGCAGCGCGACGGGCGGCGCGCGGGGCTGCGGGGCAGCGCGACGGGCTGGCAAGGCGCGCGCGGGGCTGCGGGGCAGCGCGACGGGCGGCGCGCGGGGCTGCGGGCAGCGCGACGGGCAAAGGCAGGGCGCGCGCGGGGCTGCAGGGCAGCGCGACGGGCGGCGCGCGGGGCTGCGGGGCAGCGCGACGGGCAGGCAAGGCAGGCAGGCTCAGGCAGGGCGTGGGGTAGCACGGTAACCGCGAGCGGTTGGTGGTGGGCCCTAAAAAAAATCGATCCTGAGGTCCTAGGGACCTCCTGCTCTGAATACCATGTCAGAATAGCTAGGCAGGAATGGATGGACTAGAATCAAGTTGGGTACAAATATGAAACCCTAAAGGGGCTATACCCTATATTGGCTACCCCACTACAGCCTACACATATATGTTACATATATAGTTTGACAGTTTTTTCCAGGTGGCGACTGCTGGCCAACCCTTTTTCCCGCCCACCACATACGTGACAGCTTCCTGCAGCGAGAGGGTGGGGGAGGGAAGGGTGGGAGGGGGGGAAGGGGGGATGCAAGGAAACAAGGGAGTTCTTGATGAATTGAACACGGTAGGATAGTCCAGCCGTCGTCATGCCAACCAAACCCCCCACCCCAAACGAAACCCTGAGGCGAAACGAAGTTGTTCACCAACGCAGCTGGCTAGGCTTGCTGTGATCTGGGCTTTATCCAGCGAGCCAGCCGGGTTTCAAGTATGTACATCATCTACAAAACAACCCACCGCATCGAAAACAGTGACTGCATGCGGATTTCGTGTCGGTAAGGAAACTGCACCCACCGCAACTGACGCAGGGCGGCGGTTGCTCCAGAGAGAGCCCAAGGAAACTGCAAACGCGGACAAAGAACGCAATTGAGGGGCCAGATTAGCCTTCGCTTCCACCCGATCAGATCGAAATTCTCCCTTTCACCAAAGTGTGTCTTTGTTCAATGATAGCAGCGATGATTCTTAGTACGCACTACCTCAGGCTTGCGGTAGAACAACGACCTTGTTCACTGATCGGACTACACGAGCACCAGAAATCGATCAAGCGCTCTCACCTGTCAAGCGCTCTCACCTGTCGAGCGCTCTCCTCCTGTCAAGCGCTCTCACCTGTCAAGCGTTCTCACCTGTCAAGCACTCTCACCTGTCTAGCGCTCTCACCTGTCAAGAGCCCCACCACGAGCACAAGGAGCAACCTCATTGTGCCACGATCATAGGCTAAGTACGATGCTAGGGGTGTCCTGGAGAACTGCGCCGCAAGAGCGAGCAACTGACCTTGGAGAGTGAACGAGGAGAATAAAGGCTCTGCGATTTCCCTCGGGGCTTTCTACGAGAAACTTCACCCCAGCCACTTCTCCGCGACGCTACATCGTGAAGGCGCCTTCACCGTAAAGGCGCCCGGGGTGGGTTTGAAAGTGGCGTTTCTTTGGGGGTATACATTGCGCAGATCCGATAAGCTGAAGCGCCTCAGTGAACCAAACTGCATCGCTCTGCACGATGCAGGGAAAGAAAGGATCGCAGTTACAGTCACTGTACGGATGCGACGCCGACGCCTTCAATCCTACGGCGGGGACAAGTTGTACGACTGCACATTGCTTGCGATAGGAGATCATCGTCGAGACTGTCACTCTCATGGATCGTCCTAATTTCTCACGCGGTGTGCTACTATACAATACATCGGACGCATCAAACCGCTACTGTACGTACAGCGTCCTAGGGTGGTACACTACAGTAAACTAGATCACAGAGAGTGTGCGGCCAGTGGCAGGACGGGATGAGCTCACTACGCAAGGGGTTCCGGTCCGGTTCCGTTCCTTGCGATCAAGCTCCTCTGGCCTTCTCTACATTGTCCTCCACTCTCCCCCGCTCCCCTTCAACCAACCAACCTCGAGAAGTCTGATCTTATCTTATCCGTTAGAAAGGCTTCTAACGCCCGCAGCGCCCCAAACATCAAAGGTGTGTGACGACGGGAAGATCAGACGAGCTTTCAAGAAAGGGCTCAATCTTTCCTACCTTGGCATTATGCTCTAAGGGAGGAGTGTGAGTGCGAGGAGTAGACGACGATCGAACAAGCCTTTTAGGGGCAAAAGAATTGGGACCAAATCTGCAGTGGAATCCTGCCCGTTTGGAACGATTGATGGTCCAAGTGTGATGCTTGGAACATTTGGTTGATACCCCTTCGCTGTGGGGTATCTACCCTGTTCGTTAAGAACCATGAGGGTCATTTTTATAGAAATTCCATGGTGGTTGAACTGTCCTGAACAAGATCCTAGTGGAAGATTCTAACGCCTGTTGAGCACAGGAGATTCCCTAGTAGGGAACAGGGCTCTCGCTAGGATTTTGGCCTGTCTGAAAACCTAAACCCAAAAAGTCGTTTCGTCTGACGTTCAGACGAGAAATTTTTGCTGGTCTGTCTTTTCAGACGAAATTCCATTGCATGTCTGAAATCTCAGATGTTTTTTTTTTTTTCCACGTCTGAAATTGCAACTTGCATCTTGATGACGCAGCGGTGCGTTAGATTGCAGTGGACATGCAGTGGACAGGATTGTGAGGCGTGGGGCTTGAGGGAGGGGGAATGGTTGGGCTAGGAAAGATATGAGAGAGTTAAGGGGGTAGGGGAAGACTGTGCTGGAAGATGTGCGACAGTGCGAGGGTGTTGGGGGAAGTGCCTGTTAGAATGTCTAGGCAAGAATGATTGCATTGAAAGAAGGTTGGGTACAAGTAGCAAACCCTAGAGGGGTTGTACCTCATATTGGCTACCCCACTACAGCCTACACAAGTATAACATATATAGTTTGACACACCCCCATAGGCAAAGTGGGGGAGAACAAGGGGTCACAAGACCAGTCTAGAGAAGCAAAGCAAGCTCAGGGTGGATCACAACGTCACCACACACTCTGAGCACAAGCAAAGGGCCAGAAGGCCAGTTCACATGCAGAAGTATATATGCAACAAGAACAGCACAGTGATCTCTACCTAGCAAAAGCAAGCATGCAGGTATATATATAGAGATCACAGTACAAGCAGAGTCTACAGCAAGTGTGGAAACGTAGGCACAAGGCCTAACAAGGTACAAAAGCGCTGATGATCACCAGACGAAAGCGCCTTGGTGAATATATCAGCAGTGTTGGCCCGGGTGGCCACGTGAGCAAGACGAAGCTGACCTCGCTGCTGCAGCTCTCGAGCCAGGAAGTAACGCAGAGAGATGTGCTTCGTTCTGTGCTCCAGTCTGTGCTCCTCGCACAAGGCAATGGCGGCCTTGTTGTCGACGTACAGCACTGGAGGAGAACGAGGCCGCTCTCCCAGGTCAGCCAGCAGGTTATTGAGCCAGCGTAACTCCTGTGCAGCCATGGCTGTGGCGTAGATCTCAGCCTCACAACTGGAGTTGAGAACAGAAGACGAGCGAGTAGAACGCCAAGAAACAGAGCCAGAGCCAAGGCTGAAAGTGTAACCCTGTGACGACCGCTGTGTAGCCTGGTCGTCAACCCAAGAAGCGTCTCTCTGCCCTCCAAGCACGAGCCCCATGCCCGATGTACTGCACAAGTAGCGCAGTACCCTCTTCGCAGCATCCCAGTGCACCTTTCGGTGTCGACCAGGAGCCACGTAACGGGCCAGAAGGCCAAGAGGGTACGCAAGGTCAGGACGAGTGCAGGTCATCAGGTACATGAGGCAGCCCACTAACTCTGGGTAAGGACCACTCGGCTCTACGGACTCGTCCGAAGGTGGAGCTGAGAGCGAGTGACCTGTAGCCAGAGGAGTGGACTGTGGCGAGGACCAGGTGAAGCCGAAGCGCTGAAGGACCTGCTGCACCATGTGTGACTGAGTCAGAGTGATGGTGCGGCGTGCTCTGTTCCGGGTCATCTGCAAGCCAAGGCAGCTGGGCAGCTCACCCAGGTCTGTGCACGTATGTCTCTTCTGCAGCTCCGACTTCACCAGGGTGAGAGCCTCAGTGTCAGCAGTGGCAAAAACCAAGTCGTCGATGTACACGAGGATGTAGAACGGCGGCAGCGAAGTGTTGGTGCGCAGAAACAGCGACGGGTCAGCAGTCGAAGGAGCAAACCCAAGAGCCGCAAGTGTCGTCCTCAGTGTGTCGTGCCACTCACGAGGCGCCTGGCGGAGACCGTAGACTGGCCGCCGGAGGCTCCACTGGGTACCAGGAGGGAACGACCCAGTGAAGCCAGGTGGGCGGCACAGCCAGATCTCCTCGTGCAGGCTGCCCTGTAAGAAGGTTGTGCTGAAGTCCAGTGAGTGAAGCTCGTAGTCACGCTGAGCGGCAACGTGCAGCAACACCCGAAGAGTGGTCATCTTCGGGGTGGGGGAGAAGGTCTGGAAGAAGTCGACTCCCTCTCGCTGACTGAAGCCTCGAGCAACGTAACGAGCCTTGAAGACAGGCGGAGAACCTGGCGGCCGCTTCACCCTGAAAATCCACATGCCATCAACGATGTTCGCCCCTGGAGGGGGAACCTCATCGACGTAAGTGCCTGTGGACTTCCAGGATGCCATCT